ACGTAACTCATGGGGATTTGATTTTGGTTGAAAATAGCCTGTGTGATGTTCAGTTCTCCCCCATTCCCTGGGACAGGGAAGGGTGAGCAAGCAGCTGCATGGTGTTGGGCTGCCAGCCAGGTTTAAACCATGACAAAGGGGTAGAGGGTTACCTTTGTTCAAAAGTAACACACTCCATAATTTTAATCTTTTTTTCTGACTGTCAGAACTTGCTTCCACAGTATGTCTTAAGGCCACTACTTTGTAAAACGCCCAAAATTGGACAGTTTTATTTTCTGTTGTTTGCATTTCTATGGTGTCGCTGTATGAGGTTTAGGCCAGTGGCCCACAGAATTGCATCTCAAAAACTTTGAAACTAATATATTCCTGGAAAACATACAAACCATATTCTACTACTACAGAAAACATTTTATGGACTGCAGAAGAGGGGGGAAAAAAAAGTCCCAAAATCTCTGGGAATAGCAGGGAGCATAAGCACTTTTGGCTGAACTCAAGGTACAAATAAAAATGCTTGCTCCTTACTTCTAAGAAATCTGCAGTTGCCTTTCCTCTATTTATTCTGATTTTAATATTAAAAGAAACTATAACTGATCTCATCATAAGCCCTGGTTATTAAAAAAAAAAAAAAAGATATAAAAGAGAGAGCAGAAATAAAGGGAGAATTCACAAGCTTTTCTGCATCCTCCACCCCCAACAGATTACACAACTCTTGCCCACTTTTTTGGTCCTGTTCTTCCTCATGACAACGCAAAGCTAGTTAGCTGACAGACTCCAGGCCACATGAACCAAGATAGCCAGCCCACAACCGCAGAACAGCCTAGGACAGCTTAATCAGATGATTCATCACCTCAAAGCTCAAGCATCACTAAGACTTAGGGTATCCCTTGGATATTTTAAAAACCAGTCTTCAACGAGAAGTCAGAGCTAACTCTAGCAAGTACAATAAGACATTAGCTAAAAAAGAGATGGTAATGAAGTGTTTTATTAAAAACGGAGAAGGGGAAAAAATTTATATCATATTTTTGGGGGCAGGCCATACATCTTCACATGTATCAGAATTACAAAGGCACCGAGTTTTGCACTGCTGCTGCTTCTTTACCTGAAGAAGATCTTGTCCAATCTCACCAGTCCAGAAGCTGAACTGAGTGGAGAGAGAGAACGGCCTGTGGGGTCTGGAGAAGACAGACAGGAGAAGCAGTCCTGACAATGGCAGAAGGACTGGAACAAAGGAGCAGCTGATACCAATAGCAAATCATGACTAGGAGCTACACTGGCACCCCAAAATAAACTCTGCTTTGAAGCACTATATAACAACAGATTATTACTAAATATAAAGCTAAGCTGGTATTGCCTAGTCAGCACAAAATCTGCTTTTCACACTGGCAAACAGAGACTTCATTGTGTGATGCTGTGAGCACAGACTGCCTGATTTTTTACCTTTTTTTTTTTTTAATAATCCTCTTTCAAAGGACTAACAACTTTGCATACAGCCAACATACCGAACCACAAGTTCAGTTTGCAAGGACAAACTTCTACTTTCTTTTTCCTAAATAAACACCATGTATGTTTAAACAAAGCAAAGTGGAATCATGCCCACTGCTATCCATGTGCAGTTTTCATTCTTGCAGACTGGTTCTCTCCTAGTGCTTTTCCACAAAGTTCTGGAGTATAATTCATTGTTGGAACAGAGAAAGGCCAAACACACAAGTGGAAACAGAAAAGTCTCTTTAAAGATGACATTTTAAGACACTGTGAAACAGAGAAGCATGAAAAATTACTTAATGCATAATGTTACCATCATCACCAGCAAATAAAAGTTCTTTGAGCACACCCTGAAACTACGGGATTAGGTGTGAAGACGACATGGAGGTGAGGCATTGCACTGAGTCCTCCTGTCTTTAAAAGATGGCTTACCCCTGGAGACAGTCTAATTGAAGGAAGAAAAACTGTGAAGATAGGTAACTGGAAGCAGGTTTGTTATCCTTGGCCTCTGTAGCACTTTGTTGATTGCCTGCTGTCACAGTGCCATACAGCACCTGCAATTCTATTGACACAAAACACACCGAGATTAGGAGGTAACTATTCTTTTTGGAGGGGAGACAAAAGGTCAAACTTCACCCCCTGCAAAACTAGACAAAAAAAAAAAATCCAACGGGACCTCTGAAGTACAGTTCTACGACCATGCAGAATCTGCCAGTTCACAAATGGGAAATGAAGGAATTGCCCCCACATCTGAGGTGACAAAGTATAGTAGAGTCATAGGGGAAAGGTAAGGTCAGGTCTGTTATGAGTGACAGAGAAAGATCAGTACTACTCAAGAGTGAAAATCTAGAAGAAACATGGCATAAAAGGCAGGACCTGTCTGTTCCTGTTGCCTATGCATCTGAAATATGTAATATTCCATCCTGTGAGCCTTAAATTCAAGAATATATAAAATTCAGGGAAAATCTGGAGGTAACAACAGAAACAAATTGTAGAAACATCTTTGAAGTTAAAAAAAAAGCCACCACAAAATATGAGCCATGCTAAGAAATAATTAAGGCCTGAAAAGCATGACAATAGTTACTTTAATATGAAATTTTACATTTTTAAGGCATAACATTTTAAGTACTTATTTTTGGATCAGGGTGGAGGGGAAGTGAGGAGGGATGAATCTGGCAGAAATCATACACTTAATAACCAGGGGTAATGAAGAGAAACTAAAACCAGTGGAAAACAGCACCTATATGTCAGTAAAGTTTTCAGAAAACACTTGGATTAAGGTCTGGACTGGTTTGCTAAAGGGAAGGAGAAGCACTCTTATGAACTGGTACTCTGAAAGCCAGACTGGGCAAAAATTATACACAAAACAAAATTACTTGTAGGAACAGTTCTGTTCTGGCACAATAGATCAAATTATTTAATGATTTTTTTAATCAATATTTAAAACAAACTAAACAAAAACCTTCTAATTCCCTCAGATAAATACACATACAAAACAATTCTGCTGTTTATGTCAAATATTCTCGAGTGCTCCCAGATAATATATCATCTATAGGTAACATCAAATAACTGCTGTAAAAAATGAATTGCCAAGCTGCTCTATGGGTGCATTTTGAGCATGTTCACATGAATCAGAGGCTCTTGCTCTGCTATCTTCTTTTAATCATCCATATGCCCAAGGACAATATCTCAATGCTGCTTTCATGACTTCTTGGTGTTTATAATGAACTACCAGGCACGTCTAATCTTTGTTTGTAAAGAAGCAAAATATTTTCTCAGGGGACAGTGAATTATCATTATGCAAGTCATCTTTTCTGTCCTTTAGTTCAACAGAGCTAGAAAGAGATGATTTGTAGAAAGCACAGGCAGAAAGGCTTCTGCAGGCTGATGCCTGAAACAGCTGCCCCTACAAGTGGCTGCTCCACAGGCGAGCAGTGTGCCTTGCACTCCCCCGCAGCCAGACACACCTACGCAGGGGCTGCACGAAGCCATCCTGGACCACCACCCAGCTCCAGGATGACCAGTCTACACACAGCTACTATGTGTCAGGGTGTGTAAAAAAAATAATCATCTTATCAATATAACTACATTCTCTCTTTTCTGAAGCGCTTACAAATCTGTTAACATAAATTTTACCTTTACACTACAGAGTATTTATTCCTTCGTGCATGTCTGCTAACGACATATACTTAAAATCAATTCAAATGAAAGACCTTTCAGTTCTTCCACAGACTAAGTCTCATTTTACAGATGCACTCACCCAGTTACTGAGAAACTGCTAGCACCTCCATTCAGGTGCAGATCATTTGTGTATTTTAACTACCTCCAGTGAAACAAAAAATTAGACCATTGCTATTTCTCAAACTGTCAGCTCCAGCTTTCTACATCTCCGCCCCCTGCAAGTTCTTCTACTTTCCTCCTGCTCTGCTTTTCTCCAGCAGCTGCTCCATTCACCTCTCCCCAGGAAAACACGTGTCCAAAGCAACAAGTAGCTTTGATCTAGTGATGATGACTCAGTTTGACTGTCAGCTGTGGCCCCAAGAAAGGTTTCCCTCTTTTCTCTGCTCCAGCACAGCAATTATTGCATTTTTTTATGGAAGAATCCAGGAGTGTCCTCATGCTTAAAGACACAGGGGAGCTTTAAAAAGATACTGGAAACCAACAACACAATGTAGTCTGTTACCTATCAGTTCTTCATAGACTATAAAGCAGTATTTTGTAGTAAAAATATTCTTAGAATAACTGTGCTTAGTTACAGTAATTTCCCAGACTGTTTCATCTGTGGTTTCTCAAGTCTATTCCCTGTGTTGTAGAATCTACATTATAAGAAGTAATGAAGAATCTAAGTTAATAAAATTCATTCATAGAAATCACATCCTAATAATATTTTCTTTGTCCAGCAGCACAAGACCTAAATATGAAAACAAACTTGCTTTTAAACTTTAGAAGTGGTGTCGAAAACAACCCCATTTGCTTTGAAAGATAGCCCACCTTTCTGCCTGCTTATCAAATGAATGTTTTCATCCGCAGATGTGCATGGAGCTCTAAAAGTAAACTCCTTCTGAAGCCAGCTGGCACCCCAGGAAAATGCAACATATGGCAAGTGTCCCAATGACGTTAATACCAACTAGATACTAGAAGAAGCGTGCAGGACTGTGGCCTTCACTCTGAGAGCGAAGACAGAGGGACAAAGGAAATGCAAAATACAGTCAGCAAGAGAAAAAGATCTGACTGAGAACAAACCGCTTTTCTCTACCAGCAGGTTAAAAAGTTGCATCTTGGAACATCAGAGCGCTGAGAATCAGATCTGGCAAGGGTAACAGCACTCCTAAGCCCAGGTCATTTCACTCAGTGCAGATTCACTCACGGGAAGACAGTACCTCGCTCTTCAAAGACAGGGGGAAAAGCATATAAACCACACTATTTCCCAAAATATTCCAAGTCAAAGCTGTACAACCAGCGAGCAAGAACCTTTAGAACTGAGCAGACACACACGCACAAACACCAAAGCAACTTACCAAAAAAGTATCCGCAAGATGTTTGCGATCAGCAGCACCATGCAGACGTAGGTGGAGAAGCCCTCGGCGTTCTGCGTCCGGCGGATGTCCCGGTACTGCGGGACGTAGGGCACCACGCCGCCGAACACCATGGCCCCCGCCGCGCCCCACGACACCAGC